GAATGGCTAAATTTAGAGTGAGATCAGGGATGTAAAAATTGCACTATGAACTTGTGCTACTCCATTTCTGTAAACCTCTGTTTGGATCAAGTAAATGATGCAGTACATGCAGAGGAAGCATGCATACTTCCTGCTGCACCACTATGCCATTAACATTCAAAAGTACAGCTCCTTTCCTCCGTCCAGTATACAGTGTGCTCTTGGTATTTTCTTAGTACAGTAATAAACACATTTTATCAGACCCATGAAGGATGGGAGTCCTTAATGGTAATTTTTCAAGGGAATGGATTAGGAAAGGTCAGTAAGGAGCAGAAGTTAAGTATCAGGAAAAGTGTTTTGCATGTCACACATACAGGAGGAAAGCAGGGAGAAAATAAGGGTAAATATGAACTCATTAATATGATATCAGCTAAAGCTGATAGCATAGAACGCTGCCTTGCCGATCCTATTGTACATGTGGAACTGTGTCCTTCAATGCAACTACCCATAATGCTATCCTATAAAGCAGTGTTTCATTGACTTATCAATACATGCTGTTTTATAATAAAATATTACCAACCTAACACACAGATTGGATTTTGGTGGAAAGAAGTCCATAACAATATATTGTAAATACTTTGGGTTATATTCTGTAAATATTTTTAAACAAAAAGATCGATGTTCTCACAGCACTCAGTGGAAATACTGCCTTTAATAAATGAAATGCATAGTGTGTCAGTTGTGTGGTATGTTAAGCTTCCTATTGTAGCAGTGGCTAGACAATAAAATAATATCTGTGTCACAACCTATTCAATTTAGTAGAGCACATATGCCTACTTATCTTCTTCTGGGTTTCTAAAACAAATGCAATATAAATTAGGCACATACAGATATTTTGCGCCAAAAATGTGTGCGCGCAAATTATGTAATTGAATGTTCTGATATATATACTCTAAAGATTTTTTTTGTCCTTATAAAAGAACTAATCCTATTTCTCTTAAATTGCATGGGGATTTTGTTACTGAATAAAGCAAAAATGGGCCAGCTCCATCAGTTTTTACACTGGCCATCCCTTTTGAAGTAGATTTCTCATTTTGTTCACTAAGGAATTCTGTCTAAAAGCTGAGCATATGGTATGGGCTAATTTATGTTTGATTACTTGGTTCCCAGTCCTGTTATCCCTCTGTGTAGAAGGCTTCCTAGTAGCTTTAGTGCAGTAGGTAGGGCTTCATATGTATTGTTTTCCAACAACTCTGATTAGAGATAAAAGGCTGCCCTCAGATGTGCTTGCAGGGCTCCTGTTGACTTTAATCAGAGCCCCAGTCATGCATCCCAAGGCAAAAAGGCAGATCTTTACATCTTCTAATTTTATTTAAAAGGCATTTATTAGAACAAATTAAGATGTGTTACAATTGTTCTATGGGGCACATAGTTTCACTTAGGAAGCTAGGTCTAAATAGAGAATCTACTGTGGGACAGGTAGTCAAACACAGACTTAGTATAAAATTCAGATCAACTTGTTTCAATATGGAAGACAACAAATTTAACATAACAAAGCTGTTGTACCGTGTCAGAGATACTAGCTGCACTAATGGAAGATTATCAGTAATATTTAAATTAATATATACAGACACCAAAGATGTGATATAAGGGAGAGATTATTGCTTGTCTACCAGTAAGGTGGATTAAATCAATGTAACAATCATAAACTTGCTATGTGGGTTGTAAGAAAGACAAAGATATATAGCCAATGTCATTATTTATAATAGCACAAGGGTAGGCAACCCCTGGCGCAGGTGCCAGACTGCATGCAAAGGCATTTTGCTTGGCACACATGCTTTAGGGTGGACAGTGGGAAAGAGGCCAGGCTTGCGCTGCCACGACAAGGATCTGTTCCCTCGCAGATCCCCTGCCATCTACCCCAGCATGCCAGCATCTTACAAATCAAGGTTTGCAGGTGCTTTTGTCACTCTGCCCAAAAGCATTTCTGACCCCTATAATAGCAGTTTTATAATAGCTCTGCAGCTCCAAAAATATATTTTAAAAAATTGAATGCTTAAATTAAAAGTTACATTTTAAAATTGTAAAAAAAAAAAAAAAAGGAGGCTGAGGTAAAACATCATATGGAGCATTAATAATCCTGAAAGCATGTCTGTTTCTTGCTCAGTGGACATGTCTACATGTGAATATTAGTGCAACGCAATAAACTCTGGCACAGTTTGCACTGGAGCTTATTGCTCCTGGGTGCAGTGTTTACACTTGAGCCTGGGACCACAGCACATTGAGCCAGGGAGGCAGCGTCTTGACTGCAGGAGTTAGCCTGCCAGCCCATCTCAGTGCTGCAGAAGGACTGGCTGGGGCTTGAGGGTGTTACAGTGCAGGACTAGCCAGCAGGCAGCCCCACACTGTAGCACCTTCATGCTCCAGTCAGCGTCTACACGTGCATTGCAGTGGAGTAGATAACTCTGCCATAGGGTAGTACTTGTTTCTAGCCATACTAAACTATGGAGGAGTTAATTAGTTTACTTCAGCCTAATAGCTCTTCATGTGTAGACCAAGATGTTACACTGCAGAGCTAATTATTCTACTCCATACTAAACGTATTGCATAGATGAGTCTTTTTCCCCTTTTAACATGGGGAGGAAAGTCCCCCATGACAGAGTCGAGTATGAGGCAGTGTGGGGCAGGCAGCTGCTGCCTGCACTCTACTGCCTCTGCACCTGCTGCTGATCCTCCCCTGCAGCCGCAGGCCCTACCTGTGGCCAGTCTCCCCACTGTGCCAGTTCTCCCAAATCTAATTCTTCAATAATTAGATTCTGTACATGGATGATTATAATGTATATACATTTTCCATGTATAGAAAGAAACCTAATTATGGGGTGGGGGGGGGTGTCATCTTAAATACAGGGTTAAATACTGTATCTGTCCCTAGCTAAGATCAGGGCCCCAGTACATTAGACTGCACAGCCCATCCCTAAACAGTGTCCAGTCTAGATTAACAACATATACAAATGTTGTGAGAAAGGATTAAGTAATTGGCCAGGGTATGGCAAATCTGGAAACTGAACTCTAGTCTCTTAAATCTCAATTTAGTGCCATAACCATAAGATTAATTCTATTGTCTGATTAAGTGATAGATCCACGTGTTCCTCTCAAAGACAGATTTTTCTGCACCGTATTCCACCAAATAATATCTAAAATGTGCACCAAATAACATCTGGACACTGGCTTTGAGGGAAATTTTAAGAAAACTTGTGCTTGGAATGCAGATAACAAACTTCAGCTTCAGATTCCACTTAGTTGTTTGATCTCTGTCCCCAAAGCTCTGAAGTAAAACCCTTTAAATAAAATAAATAAAGACAAGAATACAGAGCAGGAAACTACTTCTTCCTGCAGCACTTCAAGCATATTGGATGCAAACTCAATGAAGAGATGGCATGTTCCTTAATAAGGAAAAAAATAACTGCAGAAAATTTTTGGTGGCTAGACGCTCAAGAAATGCTTTTTGTACCTTATTGAATCATAGAAAATTAGGGTTGAAAGGGACCTCAGAAGGTCATCCAGTCCAGCTCTCTGCTCAAAGCAGGACCGTCTCTCACTAAATCAATGCAGCCAAGGCTTTGTCTAGCCAGGGTCTTAAAAATCCCCAAGAATGGAGAGTCCACAACCTCTCGGGTAACCTGTTCCAGTTGTTTTACTACCCTACCAGTTAGAAAATTCTTCCTAATATCTAACCTAAATTTCCCTTGCTGCAACTTGAGACCATTGCTCCTTGTTCTGTCATCTGCCACCACTGAGACCAGTCTAGCTCCATCTTCTTTTGAACCCCACTTCAGGTAGTTGAAGGCTGCTATTAAATCCCCTCTCAGCCTCCTCTTCTCTAGACTAAATAAGCCCAGTTCTCTCAGCCTCTCCTCATACGTCCTGTGCCCCAGCCCCCCCACCATTTTGTCACCCTCCGCTGGATTCTCTCCAATTTGTCCACAACATTTCTATGGTGGGGGGCCCAAAACTGAACACAGTACTCCGGGTGTGGCCTCACCAGTGCTGAATAGAGGGGAATAATCACTTCCCTTGACCTGTTGGCAACACTCCTACCAGTGTAGCCCAACAAGGGAACACTCTTGATTCATATTCAGCTTATTGTCCACTGTAACCCCCAGGTCCTTTTCTGCAGAGCTGCTGTCCAGCGAGTCAGCCCCCAGCCTGTACCAGCACATGGGATTGTCCCGTCCAAAGTGCAGAATTTTGCACTTGTTCTTGCTGAACCTCATGAGGTTTGTTTTGGCCCATCCTCGCATTTGTCTAAGTCACTCTGCTCACCCTATCCTCCATCATATCTATTGTTGGAGACATGTATATTTATATATTTATATCTACTCCCCCTTATCTATTGGAACATTTATTATGAGATGATGTGGCCAGCTTTACGGCTCAATTCTGCAGTCCTTTTGCATGCAGAACTCTTGGTGACACCAAGAGTCAGAAGTGTGTATGCATTGGCATGCCGTGGCTTGCCCCAGAGCCTGGAGCCACAGAATCTGGCTGTAACAATTCACAGCGGGAAAGCGAACAATGTTCGTAAGTGAATGTTAGGGCCTGCTATAGGGGCTGGGGACTAGAAGATAGGTTGTCTGGACAAAGATGCTGGAGAATAAAAGCACTTTGATTTGTTGTGAGCTGGGAGCTGCAGTTGTTGGAAGCCCTCTGTTCAGATTGCCTTTGGGTTCAGGTTAGGATTTATTTACCATCATGGTTAAGGAACACACTTTGTGTCTTTAACTCTGCTGGCTTTTGCCAGTCAGAGAGGCTCCCCGTGTAGCTAACTTAACTCTATCCATTAGCTTTTCATAATGGAAAGGAGAGTTCATGTAACTTATTCTTCAGCCTGCATCTCCCATCCTTCCAGCTCTCCAGTGTCCACACTGATTTTACCCACCTTAATGCTTTTAATAAGACAGCACATCCATCCCAAGAAACTGACCATTGCCATTGCACAGTGTAAATAGGACACAGATCACATCAGCTTTTCCTTTACTTTGAGTACGATAGCAGAATACACTGGCATAACTGAAAGAAGACAGAGCTTCTAAATGTCATTGGGTAATAAACATGCAAAAGAAATTTCTCATTAAAAACACATCCCTAGCATTTTTAAAGGCTTGGAAAATTAAGGACTCCCTTGGTTTCCAGTAGGGACAAGTGAGGTCAAATGCTTGTTTTTTGTGCTGTAATATTGATCAGTTGATAGACTGGACAAAAGCAAGGACTCTACTGCAGTCTCTCTTAAGGTCTGCAGTAGAAATGCGTTAGACTATGCTGTTTTCTTATTACAAAACGTGATTTATTTACATGCAATGCCCATGTTCCCTAGAGCTCCATATAGGCAAAACTGAGCTGGTCTGTAGTGAGTTATGGCAAATAAATCTATCTATCTATCTATCTATCTATCTATCTAATGTGTTTAAGTTGTAAATAAGAAAAAGTATTTAAAAAGTAATAGAAACTAGGTCCCTATTTCTTTTTAGCTGAAGTGAGAGCCATACAATTTTGGGGTTAGGTTTTTTAACAGACTTCTAAATTGTATCCATAATACTTGCCCATGCATTCGTTTGTGAGTGAAAAATAGATATTAGTATGTGGAAAACTGTTGGCACAGATGTCTATGTATCTAACTGTATATTTGCATGGACATAAGCAGGTTTTTGTGCAGGCAAACAAATACATTTGCAGTTTTTTCAAGGACAGTTTTAGTAGCTGTTTTGCAAATTGACCTTTAATGTGTAGCACTTCCTTGCTTACAATCAGTATTTTGTATACAAGAGATGGGTAATATACATAGTCAAAGCATCCAGTATATTGCTACAGAGTTATTAGCATATTAACCAACAACTTACTGGGGATGGATTGTATTTTAATATTAAATCATTTCCATAAATTTAATACTCCTCATGCTGATACAGTAAAGAAGTATAAGCAGTGTATTAAGCTGTATGAGTTATAAACAGTATTACTGTAGTGGGGTTTGTAGTTAAAAGGCAAAAGTATAGTAGATCTGCTAGAAAATGGGTCTTATAATAGTCCTGTAAAGAAGGTAGTTTGTCTTTTACTTACCAGAGTCTGACAGGATTGTATTAGTAATAAGATGGCTTCATTATAGGTTTTAATTTAGCTCTGCTAAAGCTGTGAGTGTTGTGGCAGGTTCACAATTGCTATTTACTATGTGTTTTTAAAATTAGATAATAGCAAACCAGTTCCATGTGTCAATAATAAGCAATTCAAGTGGGTTTGTATTGGAAAAAATGGGGTTGTCAGCAAAATAGTATTATTTGTCACAACAGCAGTTAACAACCAAGTATTTTATATTGCTAGGCTGTTATCAGTTGGGAGGCAATTGTATTAGCTGGAAAGTAGAGCTGTTTGGCAGAACAACAGCAGTGTTCTGTGGAGAAGCCAGTATGATTGTAATGCACGGATTATTGTGCCAGGGTTGGAGAAAGGAAGCTTGTTTACAAAGTCAGGTGGTTACAATGACATCCTGTGGCCAGCTCAGATATTTCCATAGATCAGTATAATATGTCAAGCAGAACATTTATTTAGGAATATGCTAACCTTGAAGTTAACACTCGTTGAGGTTGTTCTTAGGTATCTATCACTGATTGGGAAGATGATACCTTTAATACCTAGAGAGAAGTAGGTAACTGGATTAGTCCAAAGTCAGGCAGAAGACAAGGTAGATGTGTACCTTACAGACTATCTGATGAAGTAAACCTTCAGTTTACAAAAGTTTATGCTATACACCTCTGATTTAGTTAGTCTGTACTATGCAAACCTACCCTGCCTTTCATTTTAGATACCTGTCATTATATTGGTCAGTGGTAAAATACTCAGGTGTAGATTAATAAACATTCAAATATTCTACTAGCTTTAGATCTAAAAATCAGCTCTTTCAAGTGCTCGTAATCTGAATCATCGTGTATTTTTTGCCTCCATGTTTTGAGATTTCAGGTTAAAAATATCATGCAGTATTATATTCTGTCTATGCATTTGCCCTAACACGTGTACTATGATGTTAATATTTACTATTCTTTAGGGAAAACTATTATCCTGGCACCTTTCTTCTAAGCCACTGGGCACAGTGGAAGTCCCCATTGTCACAACTAGTGTCCTGTCACAAGCTGTAGAAAATAAGTCTGTGTATACCTACATACATATACATACCTACCCACCCACACACAGACACACCTCAAGCACTTTGCTAATGCAGCTACTACTTGCTGCTTTAAGGTATGAAAATCATCTTCCAGAAAATTCCTAAATAAATCTGCTTTAAGATTTGCCTGACTTCAGTTATTCAGATTGAATTTATAATTACAGCTACATCTAAGGCCTGCTTGTATTGAAGACAAAGCCCATTCCAGGGACAGTAGTATCAGGCCCAGGAACTGTAAAATTTTGTTCACTGCTGATGTGCCTAATCATACTACTGGGTTTCATGCTTAATTACAGTAGAGTCACTGAGTGAGAATGGAGTGTGAGTCTTAAAATAACTGGTGTTGTTCCTAACGCTCCAGGTCTTGGAATCATGTAAATATGTCTCAGCTTTTATTTCCTTGCAGAGGAAAGCTTGGAAATGTGACAGTGCACTCAAAAGACTCATAAACCAGAAGGCAAATGACAAAAAATCTTAAACTTGTTTTTCTGAGCTCTCCTTGTCTTTAAGACCATAACATAATTTTGGGATTTTAGCTCCTGATTTTTGCGGGCTCAGGTTTGAAAGTAATGGGTTTATTCAGAGGCAACCACTACACCAGGTACAAAAAAGATTTTGTAATATTGGCTATTACATTAACACCTCTGCTACTACCAGTAGGATAATTTATTGTCTTATTACATCTTTCAGTTGAAGAACAAACAATCTTTCACCAGTAGTCTTTCCTGGGGGGAAAAAAGCCATGTTTAATTCCACGTTATTGAAATACAGAACAAATTTAGTATTGTTATAGTGGCAGTTACATAGTTATACCACAGTAGGAAGCTGTATAAATGGAACATACCCGTAGCAGTATATTTTTATCTGATTTTGGTGTCTGCATTCCACACCAAAATACTTATTCACAAGACAGCAGAGCAAAAATCTGACCTATTAATTGGCCAAGAAGAAAAGCCTGACTTGAGGTCTCAAAAGACGAAAGTTATTGACATATTTAAATGCAGTCTCTCATGAAAGTACCTGAGCTGCACAAGCCACGTAAGAAGAATTGCTATACCATAAGTGTTAAAGATCCATATTTTTCTTCTTTCCTGATACTGCCTCTACTAATATTTCGTATTAGAATCTGTTATAATTAAGTTGCAGATGATTTTGGGAAGCTTTCCTTAAGGTCCCTAAGAGCACATATTTGAAGTGTTTGAACGACTGGTGTGGACGTGTCTTCAGTTCAGAATGCGTTTGAGAGTGCAGCTACTCAAGCTTAACCAGCTGAGCAGCTGTTGTGGGCTTTCCTAGATGCAACAGTTGTACCTGATTCAGCACTTTGTAAATCATATGTTGGTATTTCTGCAAAGCAGAGTTAGTCTTTTCTTAAGACTGCCCTGTGAAGCCATTCCTATCCTGCCTGCCTTGACTATTTGGAAATAAGAGCACACTAACTTGTTCAAACACACTCACAATCCCCTTGAGACTTTCCATGGTAGCTGGCTTTTTCCAAGCTTACTGACACAGGATTTGCATATTAATCCTTTGTAGCTGGATGAGATATTCTGTCTTGGTTTCATACTCCCTTCCTTGCATGCATTCTGCCAAATGTGTAAAACCCAGGGCTGCATCCACACAAGTGCAAACATATGTTTCCCCGGGGACAAGAAGCAGTGACACACCTTGTGCTGCTCCTTCTTGTTCCCACGGAATGCACTCTGGTGTATGGCAGGTTACCCCAGGTGGGGTAGAGGAGTCTGGGACCAGCAACTCTGCTGGCTTCAGCAGCATTACCTGGCGTTTTGGGGGCCTCAGGGAGCTGCAGCCATGGGGCTCCTGCATTTTTTTGGTGCTCCTTCCAGGCGCTTCTTCCAAGCGCCAGTTTTGGGCAGCACGTGCTGCTTCTATGTGCTCCTCCCTGCTTTTTTAAGGCACAGGTTTTTTTGACCCTGGGAGATCCTGGTGTCAGAAAAAAACCCCCACGCTACAAGGCAGCAGCACAGGGAACACCTGCATGTGCAGTGTGTGGTGCTGCAGACGGGTCTGTGGTGCCGCATACCGTACTTCCATGTTCGTCTG